GAGGCTCCGTGTAGCCCGCAAGGCCTGGGCCTCAGATGCCAAGGGGGTGGGGTCTTCGACGGAAGCAATGCCCAGCTGGCCAGCAACGGACATCTCAGCCACGGACTCTTCGAGTGGCGAAACACTGGTGGTTAGGTCACAACGCGTGCAGCGCGAGTGCAGAAGTGCAAAGGAAAGATGAGACAAATGCAAAATTGTTCACGAATGTGGAATCAAAGCAGAAGGAAGGTGAAAGGCACGACGACGAACACCCCGATGCACGCCTGGGGGAGGGTCAGAGGGAGCGAGAGAGAGGGAGAGACAGGAGAAAGAAATTTATGGAGAGAGAGAGAGGGAGAGAGACAGGAGAAAAACACAAACACAACATGAGATGGAAAAAAAAAACAATAACGCCACTTCACCTGCGGGGGGCTGGGCCGCAGGCGCTGCGACAGAGGCCGCAATTGTCCTCTGACCGACGCGAGGGGGCCGCGAACCGCGCTCAGACCGCGCGCGAGGGGCAATGGGCCGCTTTCATCCCGCGCGAGACACACAGAGGAAAGAAGGCCGAACGTGCGAGACCCACGACGGCAACTCGGAAGACTCAACTGCCCGACGATCGCTTTGCGCCGGACAACCGACAACATGGACCCCCCGGGCGATGGAGCAGGCGACGCCGCCCACCGAAACCTCGGCGCGGCGAGAGAGCATCTGCGGAGGAAACTGACGACCCGCGGGCGGGGTCGACGAGACTGACGGCCCAACTGCACATGCCCACCTCCGGGGGGGCGGAGCCCGCGCTGAAGTCGGGGCGCTCCGCGGAGACGCGCGCGCCTCGAGGGCAGCGCACAGCGTGGAGGGAGAGAGAGAGGGAGAGAGAGAGAGAGAGAGAGAGAGAAACAAAAAAGAGAGAGAGAGAGAGAGAGGAAAAAAAAAAACACTAAAGAAAAATTCCACGCCTGCAGTAGTTCGCTCCCGCGGGTATTGCCGCGTCTTCCACGTTCTCATTCACCTCAAGTCTGGCGACGCGGCCGTGATAGAGAATCTGGCGACATGTCGGATCTGGGCAGGCCCTGGGGCGCGACAAGACGCTGGCTCCAGAGGGCGCCTGGTTGCCGAACGGCCGGGGCGAGACAAATCCGGCCGTGGCCGAGCTCATCGGGACTCGCGACTCCCTCGAGCGGGATGAGGCGCCTGTGGAGGACATCCGCCCGCAACCAGGCGAGCCAGAGGCGACCCTCGGCGAGATGGAGAGGGCCTGGCAGGACTTCCTGCACACCACAGACGACCGTCTCGAGCTGGAGGTCGACGGTGAAGGAGAGGTTGAGGAGGTCGCCGCCTCAGCCGCCAGCGCCAGCTGAGCCAGCAGACCAAGTGCAGCCTATCGGTCCAGCTGAGTTTCGACGACATCGAGCTACCTTCGACGCGGGCGACAGCAGGGACTTCGGCCCAGCTCTCACGCATCTGCACTCGTCACGCGAGCAGTCCACAGCGCCATCGCGCGTGCCAGAGGCAGCCGCCAGCCAGGACGTTCGACCCCCAGAGGCGGCGAGCGAAGCGCGGGCACGTTCCAGGTCGCCACCCCGCGAGGTGCTGCAGACATCCATCGTCGCTTAGAGGATCCAGCGGGAGCTGACCGACAAGGAAATCCGCTAGAAGGACATCAAGGACTCCGATCGCGAGTTGTATCGAGGGTATGCAGCCAAGTAGTGGCGCGAAAGGAAGAAATACGGCTCGTGCCAGGTGTTCTCCACTGCCGAGTCGGAGGCGGCCCGCAAGACAGTCAAGCCGTATATGATATTGCAGTCGTTCCGTCGACTGGGACAAAAACGCGCCGCTGAGGGCGGACAAGCATCCGCTGCCCGTCAAGGTTAAAGCCCGACTCTGCGGCGCAGGTCACCTCCACCCGCGCCTGGTCGTGGGCGAGCTGCGCACGGATGCACCGACGGTCACCCACAACTCTACCATGCTGTGCTTCACTCTCCGCCAGAGGTTCAATTTGGAGATCTTCGCGGCGGGCGTGGAGGCGGCGTTCGTGCAAAGCGACGAGCGGCCCGACCAGCAGCTGCTCACGGCACAGCCTCGAAACGGACTACCCGATCACTTTCCTCCAGGGATTCAAACTCTGGATTTGCCATCGAATCTTGACAGTGGTGGGCCAAAATACGTCGCACGTTGCTGGCAGTGGAGGACCAGCTCACGCGGGGCTTCACATATCGCCTGGGCCAGCACTCGGTGGACCTAGCCTTGCACGACGGTTACGACCAGATTGGAGAGCTGAGCGTGGTGGTGGTCGCCCAGGTGGACGACCTGCTGTTGGGTATCTCGCCCCAAAACCCCTCGCTGTACGTCAGGCTCCACCAGCTGCTGCCGTGGGGAGATCGGGGACGTCTGCCTTTTTTGCCTTCGGTGGCAAACAAGCATGGCAAGACGAAGGAAACGTGCTACATCTATGACAGACCGAATGCGCGAACACCATCCAGAAGTTCGGCTTCACCCAGGAGCGCGAGACGGAGCCAACGGCGGAGGCGACGCCGAGCGAGTCCTCGGACAAACGCTCCGCTCTTTGGTCCCTCGGGTGGCTCACTTCGCAGACCCGCCCAAATCTTTCAGGCGTGGCCATGGGCCAGCGCACGCAAAACAAGCCGACCGTGCAGGACCTGCTGGAAACCGAATGGTTTATCAAGCTGGCTCGCAAGAATGAGGACGTGGGATTGGAAAACCCTGTTTTACACGGTCCGATCTCCCTCGTGACCTACCGCGACGCCAGCTGGGCCAATGCGGATGAGCCCCCAGAGGGCATGATGGCACAGCTACTGTCGAAGACAACGAGCATCGGGTGCAAAGACAAAAAGGTCCGGATCCGCTCACAGGCCGGTTCTATTCCTTGCAGAGGTCAAGATACTTTGTGGAGAACGTGCCAGAGCGATCATCGTAGATTAGAGATCGGGGATCATCACACGGGTGTGCAAATCGACGTTGGCAGCCGAGACCATGACCGCGGTAGATTCATTAGGCTGTGCGCGGATCATTCGCTGTGTGTTTCGCATTGCTGGGAGTACCGGGTGTCAAGCCAGAGGACAGTTCGCCGAGTTCACTGCCGCTTGATCAGGTCCCATATTGCGCCAACTTGTACGATATGATGCACAAAGACGTTGATTGCAAAATCCCGTCAGAGCGGCGCCTGTCGTTAGACCTGGTAGGCCTGAAAGAGTATTTGAGGAAGAGGTCAGCGACATCTTCGTAGCAGATGATCAGCGCAACCAGCTACCTCTTGTCTGGGCTCCTTCGGACCAGCAGCTCGGTGATCAGTTCACCAAACAATCAGCAAGTCGTGAGGTGCCAAGCGATCAGCAAGTCGTGAGGTGCTACGAGACACGCGCCTCGCCTGGCAGCATCAGGAGGCCACAGACCAGGCCCCAGGGCATGGAAGCCAACATGAATAGCTCCAGCTCAATGTTCAAGCGCACCATTCGCCTGGATGCTTTGATATGCCCGCGTGCTATTTACACGCTAAGCTATCTAAGCCGGCCGATGCACGGATCCGAAAAATGTGCGATTGCGAATACATACGTTAATTGCTGATATGCCGTTACTATCAAAGCAGTTGGTAGTCATAAGTACTAGCAATTATGTAGTCATTCAGACGGCGTGAGAAGCATCCAGACCTTTTGGGGGGGCTAAACCCATTGAGGGGCCTTGAGCTTGGACGTACCGGTAGAGACGATTTCTTACCTCGCTCAACAAATGCTATCGCCAATCGTCACAGAGACTATTACGACAATTGCTTAAAACAACTTCGCATCTATCTTCGCACTTCGACCCCTCTTTGCAGTTCTCGGTCTAGACCTTCCCTCAGGCCACCTCGGGCTCTCCAAGCTCGCTGGCCCGAGATGAATCGACCAGGGTCTTCATCGAGTCGACGAGAAGACCCTGCCCTTCGACCCGGTCCCAGCCGATGGCCGAAGAGGAGCCCAAAAAGCACGCCACTGTCGCACCGCTGGAAGCCAACACCTCCAACATGATCCCAAAACCCGAAGGAGGCCCACGAGAAGCCCCAACTCGCGCCAAGTGGGCCACCGAGGCCCCCAGGAGCCCTCAAAAACACCCCCAAGATCCCCGCAAACGCCCCAACGGCATCTGAAACACAACACAGACGCAGTGGCGGGATGGGTCGAGGACCATCAGATTTTCGTCCCCGCATTACGGCCTTCCACAAGGCCGCGCGGATTTCTTGGATCGGCGATGATCAGCGCTGCGCTCCTCTAGCGGCGCCTCGGGCGCCGCCCGTTGCGCGCCCACCGCGCCAGGGAGGGGGGTTCAGCACGGCTCCACGAGATCCGCGCGGATCTCTCAAAATGTATGTGTGTGCAAAGGCTATTCTTCAATAGTCGAGAGCACGCTAACATGGGTCACGGATCCATGGGTGTAGTTCGTGGGCGCCAGATTCACAGATCGGGGAAAGTGCCCTCCGAAACATAAGGCCAAAGCCGCCTCATTTGGTGACGGAGCGCGTCGAGTCTTGCATGGAAACGGGACGTTGCTAATCCACGCGCCATAAATAATCCATGTCTGCGTTCTCTTGAAATTGAGGACGCCGGCGTGAAGAAGACCAAGTGACGAGCAAAGGAAGCTCGCTTGCGATCCTCCGTCCATCGCGCGCACTCCTCACTGCTGTTCCTCCCCGTCCTGCTCCTCCCTGCAGCATGTTACCAAGCTCAGAAGGCCATCTACAATGCCAAACAAACAGCAAGCCGACCAAACCGACACCGAATCCGAAACCGCCCGAAACCGACAGGCCGCAAGCAGGCTAGGAGGGCGCAGCGACGGAGCAACGGCGAAACAGCCGACCGAACATAACCAACCGAACGCGACACAGATTGCGAAGCTGCCGAACCAGCTAACAGCGGACACCCTTAGCCTTTGCTCCCCCGTCCTTCTCCTCCCTGCAGCCTACAGCGCTCTCGAACTTGGAAAGATGGAGCGGCGCACAAAACCAGCAACAACACGGACGCGCCGGCCTGCTATCGAGGAACTGCTCTGGCCTCGCCCAGTCCAGCTCCGCCACCTGTTCGCGGCACCGCCAGGGCAGAATCAGTCAGAATCGAGACGAGAAATCAGATCGGTTAGGATTTCACATCCGATCGACCCGAAACAGCACGCAGCTGAAGCCGAATCGGTTTGGCGGCGCTGGGATCACAGCAGCGCCATGTCCGCACCGGGCACGCAGCCAAATCAAATCGGATCAAGCGGGTCAACCTCTTCATCGAATCGGATCCGTCGGATCGAAATGGGATCGCAGGGACGTCCCAGGCATCCCTCCCCCCCCTACGCTTCCCCCTGCCCTCCCCCCCCTGGCCCCAACCACACCTCCATGCATTCTCCTGCTTCTTCCCATGCCTCCCTCACTCCCGCTCCTCGTGCCTTTGCCCTCTCCACTTCTCCTGCCCGCGAGGGACCTCCTGTTCCTCCTCCTCCTCCTCCTCCTCCTCCTCCTCCTCCTCCTCCTCCTCCTCCTCCTCCTGCTCCTCCTCGGTGCCCGTCCCGGCACCACACGGGCTGGCTTGCGCCTCGGGGGCCCCCCTGCTGTTCAACGTTTCCGAAGCATCGCCTCCCCCGTCGCCTGGCTAAGGCTCGGGCTTTTCTGTTTCCGAATATACATATATATAATATGTCCGTGTTTCGACGACCTCTTGTTGGTCCTCTGCACCTCGTGTCACTGCTCCCCCTGCCGTCTCAGCACCCTCTCCGCCCTTGCTGCAAATGCGACTGTGACGTGGAAGGACCCCGCGGGGAGCGGGGCGAGCCATGGCCTCGACCGCAGTAGACGCAGGCCCGCCAGCGCCTGCGGGGGGGCGGTCTGGCGACGCTGTCTGGCAAATCCCCCACGGCAAAATCCGGGCCGCGACGACTTCGGTGCTGGCTTCTGAGACCGCGTGGATCGATCGACCCTGAAATGTTGCTTGTCCCCCGTAAAACATGTCGTTCGACGTCGCCGGATTCTGGCCTACTGGCGGCGTTCAGGTCTGAACTTCCACGGCCAGGTCGCCACCACGTCGAAACGACGCGGACCTGCCGGACATGCTAATCAAGGCGGACTCGTGGGATCGGCGCTGGGCCGCGGCGCGCGGTACAGCGACGCCGCGGTCCATCGTCGCTGGACACTGGCGCGCGGAATGCACCAGGGGCGGCGCCAGCATTGAGGGGTCACCGCCGATCCAAGAAATCCATGCAGAATGTCAGAAATTTGTAAGTTTTACCCCACCATCCTGTTGTGGGTTCCCGTTCTGCATAAAATGTTGTGGTCGCGTCCTCCCGCCGCCTCCCTTCTTGTCTTCCCTCCTGCCTCCTGCCTCCTGCCTCGCCGCCCATGTGCGGAAGTTCGTTGATCATGATAGTGGTGATGGTGACGGCGACGACGGTAATAATGGTGATGGTGATGACGGTGAAGACGGCGAGAACAAGTATGATTAAGGTGATGATGGTGTTGATGATGGTGAGGATGGAGGTGATGATGGTGATACTGTTGTTGATGAAGGTGACGATGATGATTATCACTGGCAGCTTTGAAAACATCGCGCTGCCACTGGACTAAAGTCTCAGGCCGGCACATGCAGGCTGCCACTGCTGGCACATGCAGCGACCCACCTTTGACGCCGCGATGCCACGTGCAGCGTGGAAACAATCGCGCTGCCACTGGATTGAAAGCCCGAGGCTGCAAGCCTGAGGCTGGCATCCACAGGCTGCACTTGGCTGGAAGCCTCAGGCTGGCTCTTGCACGGCTTCGCGGTGGAAGCTCTAGCGCGTTGCAGCGCGGCCGGGGCACTTTGAGCGGCGGAGACTTGGAGGGGCGGGCGGCGGCGCCTCGGGCCGGCACGGCGGCGGCGCCTTCCACGCCTCGCACTGGGAGGGCGGCGCCTTAGGCCCGCGCGCGCTCGCAAGCCATGCCTCGCCCGCGGCCGCCCCCGAGGCCGCGGGCGCGAGGCCGGCGCGGGCGACCCCGAGGCGCGCGGGGACTGGCGCGGGCGACTCTGAAGGCCTTCCGAACTCGGCCTCCGTGGCCGCGCCCCCTTCGTCGCCCTCTGCTGCTGCGATGCGCTATAGAGACGCCGCCACGCGATCCGCCTCTGTCCGCGGCCCCTCTGCCCTCGCCCGTCCGTCTACGTCGCGCGCGTGGGCGTTGTTCGACGGTGGCCGAATATAGGGCGGCCGCCGAGCTGGAGGTTGCGGCTGCCGCGGCTGGCATCGCCCACATGTAGCCGACCAGCGGGGGCATCGACTGGACCGGCGAGAAGATGGCTGGCTGGCAGCGAACCGCCGCGCGAAAACCACTCGAAGGAGCGCGCAGGGGCCCCGGTGGCGCACATGGACCCCAACTGCAAGCCCGCTCGCGGGGCTCTTGTCCAGGGGGGCAGCCAGGCCACTCCGTCGCGCGCGCCCTCGAGGGCGCGGCGCGCCGGCCCCGCATCGCGTCGCGCGCTCGCCCGCGAAATTCTCCAACCCAGACGCCCTAGCGAGAAATTCTGGAAACTCTTCGAAGCCGGCCACGCGCCCTCGAGCTCCACCCGCGCAATAGGGGGCATCTTGCACACGAGGCTATGTTTGACCGCGCCTCGACCACTCTTTTCGATTACCCACGAAGAACCAAGCAAGGAGCCCAGCAGGCGCGGCGCAAGCCTCCACCCATGGTGCGGCTAGAAGTCTCTCTGAAGCGCGCGGCCACTATCGGGTGGGGGCGGGGGGCGGCGCGGGGGGCATTCGGAGCTTCGGGCAAGGCGTGCTAATTACGCGCGACGGGAACAGGCGACAGGGAAAAGGGGACGGGGCGTTGGCAAAGGAGGGGGGGGCACGGAGAATCGAGCAATGCGCGCGCGAACAGCGAGGGGGCGAGGGCGAGGGCGAGGGGGCAGAAGGAGAAGAAGAGCGGCCCTGAATCACGCGCGCACAGAAGAGGCGCAGAGGCAGCGAGCGGGAGGGGGCGGAACAGAGGGGTGGGGGGGGGGGGCGCGAGGAGGAGGCTACGATGCAGAAGCAGCACGCGTCTCCTCTCGCCCACGCCAGCGTCGCCGCGCGCCCGAGCCGATCAGGCCGAAGCAGCGTTTTCAGCCCCCGCGGCGCCGGGATTGCCTTCCGCCGCGATCCTTCCCCCGCGGCCCATGGACTGCCTCTTCCCGCAGTCCACGCGGGCCGAAGCGACGCCAGTGAAGAACCCAGCAGAATGCCTTCGCTTCGCCGGCGCCCGCAAGTCCGCGGGCAGCGGAGCGGGCGCAAGGGGCGGGCCTGGGCCGCCCGCCCCGCGGAAGCTCTAGCGGTCACTGCCCGCGAACGCCGCTGGAGCACCGCTCGGCCCCGAGCCATTGGGAGAGGCCGCTCATGCCGCGGACGAAGGTTCTCTCCACGATGCCATTGCTCATGTGAAGCAACCGAGGGACCGAGCACAATCCCGTGAAAATCCCCTGGGCCTTGCACGCACACGCCGTGAACACGCGAGGCAACATGTCGGCGGAATCTCTTCCCCCGAACCGATCCGGCGGCCACAACGACATAACGACTTCAAGGATTCTGGTACAACTCTGGCACAACTGTCACAGCTGGCAGGGCTGGCGCCGCGCGCACAACTCTTGCGAAACCCTGGCGCAACTGGGGCCGACGACGCGGCTGGCACCACTCGCCACGTTCACGGACGGCACACCCCAGCACATCTGGCACGACCGGCCCGAGCGGCACAGTACACCCCTCCAGCCCGACCCGAGGAACCACTGTGACCGAAGTCAGGGCTGTCAAGGCTAGGTCTGAACTTGTCGAAAGTATTCCTGGCTACGTCCCGAACGGCGGTGTTGGTCATGGCATCCACCAGATGGCGCAGCCACGGTTCTGTGCTCGAGAGATGGAGCCACGCATGGTCGGGCACCTCCTGGTTCTGCCTGATCATCTTGTGTTGTGGCCGCAGCGGAATTGGAGGTGGTGCAGCCGACAATTTGTTCGGTTCCCCTTTCACCACCGCCTCCTCGGCGGTGATGAACGCACGACGGCCGTCGGCCCATTCCCCTAGCGCCAGAATTGCCTCCTTCGGTGTTTGCTGACGTCGCTGGTCCTTTAGCTCTGCGGGCCCGTCTCGGCCGCCATCGGAGTCATCCTCGATCGGGATGGCGCCTGGCTGGAAGCCTCCGCCGCTCCCTGGATGGCCGTTGTCGACCCAATGCAGCGCCTTCGTTGAAAGGTCACTGTCGTCTTCCATGGCTGCCACAGTGCTGACTGGAGGGCGAGGGTCCTGCAGCGCGGGCAGTACTCCTCGCCCGCCCAATTTGATCCAGCTGCCAAAAGCGCCCTGCCCGTCCCAAAACCCGCATTGTCATCCTACGCCTCCAAGTCCTGCTCCACCTGGTCTTCCTCCTGGCCGCTCTGGCCCTCCTCCTCCCCCTTTTCCTCTCTTCCTCCTCCTCCTCCTCCTCCTCCTCCTCCTCCTCCTCCTTCTCCTCCTCCTCCTCCTCCTCCCCTTCCTCCTCTCCCCCTCCTCATCTTGACGCGGGAAAGCGGGGGTTTTCATACTGCCCACGTCCTACGCCTGGCTGGAAGCCTTAAACCACGCGCGTGGCGAGACGTCTCGACCCTCCACTACGTACGTATCCAGGGCCCCAGAGACCGTCACGGAACGGCAAGATTAAGATGTCCTCTTTCTCGAGAACCAAGCTGTTCGTGGCGTACGGTGCCTCCATGGTGGTTGCGGCGCCTTTCGGAAACTTGAATCCCCTCGACTCCCCCCCGTCCACCGCGCAGCTTGGCACCGAGACGAGCATAGCACCCATCTCCACACTCTGGTGTAAAGCAAAGGGGATACTCAGGGCGAGCCGCGGACTTGCGGTACCCTATACTTTCTCCAGGGAAAACATGATCTGGAGCCAACATGGCTAAGGACTGCATCTGGGACCTTCGTTGGAGCTCCCCGTGGGGCCACGGAACGTGCGAGGGGTGCGCCGTCTTAGGTGTAGGGACCGCATGCGAACACTGCAATGAGGGCGTCTGGTGAGAATCCTTCTGGGGCCAGGTGTGGTGACCGCCGCATGCGAGCACTGCCACCGGGGCCTTCGGTGGAGCTTCCGGTGGGGCTACGGAGTGTGGGAGGGGTGCGCCGAAATAGGTGGGGACTGCATGCTACCACTGCCACTGAGGCCTTCGGTGAGGTTCCGTATGGGGCCACGGAGCGTGTGAGGGGTGCCGAAATGGGTGCGGGACTCGCATGCGACCACTGCCACTGGGGCCTTCGGTGGCGCACCTAATGAGGCTACGAAGCGTGCAAGGGGTGTCCCGAAGTGAGCCCAGGGACCGCATGCGCGGACTGACGCTGGCGCCTCCATTGGGGCTCCCTAGGGGGCCCCGAAACGTGTGAGGGGTGTCACGAAATGAGTGCGGGGACCGCATGCGAGCACTGCAATTTGTGGCCTTCGGTGGAGCCCCCTCTAGGGCCACGGAACGTGTGAGGGGTGTCCAGACATGGGTGCGAAGACAGACCGCGTGCAAGCACTGCCACTGGGGGCTCTGGTTGAGCTCCCCATGAAACCACGAAGTGTGTGAGGGGTGTGCCGAAAAGGCAGCGGGGACGAAATTCGAGCACTGCCACTGGGGCCTTCGGTGGAACTCCCAAAGGGGCCGCGAAACGTGAGGGAGGTGTGCCAGAATTGGTGCGGACCCTGCCTCGGGAGCCTTCGGTGAAGCTCTCTATGGGGCCACGTAACGTGTGAGACGTGCGCCGAAACAGGTGTGGCGACCGCATGCGAGCACTGCCACCGGGCCCTTCTGTGAAAATTCCTACGAGGCCACGATGCGTGTGAGGAGACTTCCGAAATAGCTGCAGGGACCGCATGCGAACTATGCTACAGAGGCCTTTGGTGGAGACTTCTATGGGGCCACGAAGCGTGTGATAAATTTGCCGAAATGGACCGGAGTCCGCATGCGGACTTTGCCACTGGGGCCTTCGGTGGAGCTTCCAGTAGGTCACGAAACGTGTGAGGGGTAAACCAAAATAGACCTGTGTTCGCATGCGGGCCCTGCCACTGGGGCCTTCGGTGGACCCCTGTGGAGCCACGAAACATGTGAGGGGCCTTCGGAAGAGCTCCCTGCGGGGCCACGAGACGTATCAGGGGTATGCCAAAACAGACCCTAGTCCGCATGCAGACCCTGCTACTGGGGCCTTCGGTGGAGCTTCCTATGGGGCCACGAAACGTGTGAGGGGTGCCCAAATCGATTCGAGTCCGCATGCGGACCCTGCTACTGGGGCCTTCGGTGGAGCGCCTTATGGAGCCACGAAGCGTGCCAGGGGTGTACCACATTTGGCCCGAGTACGCATGCCGACTGCGCCACTGGGGCCTTCGATGAACCTCTCTCCGGGGCGGCGAATCGTGTGATGGGTGTAGCGAAAACTGCGATGTGAAGAATGATGGCTGTAACGAGTATGAAGGCGATGATGCTGACGACGACGATGATGATGGCGACGATCGGGATGATGCTGATGACAAGGAAAAGGAGAGGAGGGGGAGGTGGAAAGGAAAAAAAAAAAGGGAGGCGTTGCGAATTCAAGACGAAGACCAAACCGAAGGAGGGCTTGGAATATTGCCTGTCAAACCATGGGACTTGTGCACAATGGCAAGCTGGTCAGTACTGATGACGTAAGTGTGACGCATGCGAGCCTGAAGCCCAAAGGCGCCATCTGATGCGCAGGCCAACTCATCAGGCCCAATTCACATAACTTCCTTGTCACTGAGGACTAATACGCTTTCGTACGTAGGAGTGCAAACACGTTGGGGGGAAGAGAAACAGCTAACAAATCATCCGACCATGCATGTGCAACTGCTCTGCGAACTTATCTGAAATTAGCTCCGCGAATTGCACAAGGGATGCTTCAATGGCGAAGTCAATGGGGCTACGGTCATGCAACCGACGGTGCACCGCAATAGATCCTCTTGCGCTGTCTACGAAAATGCTGCATAGGCTGTGCCCACCAAACTTTGACAGTTGTAACGGCTCCCCTCTATCGGCCGAGATTGGCGTCCGCTCATGGTTTGCACTTCCGGATATCTGTACGCTGCACATTCATAATCAAACTCATACGCAAGATAAGAGAGAGCGTAATCCACCGCCGCTTTACTGTAGAAAATTGCCCCCCTCTTCCTCCGGAACCCGGGCATCCCCCCCCCCTCCGAAAATCCCCCCCCCTGCTGGAACCCCCCCCCCCCCCCCTCCCCCCCTCCCCCGGCAAACCCCCCCCCCCCCCCCCTCCCCCCCCCCTCCCCTCGAAAACTGGGGGGGTCACTACCGGTTCGAACCCCCCCCCCCTCGAAAACCGGAGGGGGGGGGGTTCGAACCCCTCCCCACCCCCCCACTCACCGCCAGCAAACGACTCCCGGTCCCTACCACCGTCCGCATCACATCCCCCACTGTTGTTCCCAGCACCACTGTCCTCACCACCACTGTCCCCACTGGTTCCACCACCGTCCCTACTGTCCCCACCAGTGCCCCCACCACTGTCGCACTGTCCCCACTGTCCCCACCACTGTTCCCACCACGGTTCCACTCTCCCCACTTTCTCCACGGCCCCAACCACTGCCCGACTATCCCCACTGTCCCCACTGTCCCACTGACTCCTCCGCTGTCCCACTGAGCTGTCCCACTGTTCCCACCACTGTCCCCACTGTCCCCACCACTGTCCCCACTGTACCTCTGTCCCATTGTCCCACCGCCGTCCTCGCCACCGCCTTCACCACTGTCCCCACCACCACTGTACCCTCCACTGTCCCACTGTTTCCACCTCATTCCCACTGTCCCCACACCACTGTCCCCACCACCACCGTCCCCACCACTGTTCACTGTCCCCACTGTTCCCACCATTGTCCGCACCACTGTCCCCACCACTACCGTCCCCACCACTGTCCCACTGTCCCCACCACTGTCCCGCTGTCCCCTCACCACTGTCCCCACCACCACCGTCCCCACCACTGTCCGTGTCCGCACCCCCCCTCGGTTTTCAAGGGTAGGGGGAGTGGGGTTCGAACCGGTAGTGACCCCCCCCGGTTTTCCAGGGGGGGGGGTTCGAACCGGTAGTGACCTCCCCCCCTTTTCATGATGAACTGGGGGGGGGGGGGGGCAAGAGGTTCGAACCGGTAGTGACCCCTCCCGGTTTTCCGGAGGGGGGGGGGAGGGGTTCGAACCGGTAGTGACCCCCCTGGTTTTCCGCCAGCAGCGGTAGAACCCGCTCTTTCCAAGATAACGAAACAAGATCTAAATCGGGTTCATGCAGCCTTGAGAGATAGAAGCTTTCTAAAATCTTGAGAGCCTGGAGCCCCCGATTTCTAGACGCTTCTTGGCGCTGCCGGCGCGTCTGGGATTTTCCACGTGGGCCACGACGTGACAGCGCCCAGAAGGGCCCCGAAACGGACCTACAAGTGGGCCCCAAGTCGCCTTAAGATCGCTCCCAAACGCCCAAGATGGCTTCAAGACGGCCAAAAAAGGCCCCAAAGAAGCTTCAAGCATCCAAGAAGCCTTAGTCCACGACATCAGCGAATCTCTCACCACGAATAATCTTGGCGTCTGCTCTGTTGTGGGAATCGTCGGAATGGCGTCAGCCTACTGAATAAGCACTTTCGGATTTCCGCGCAGATATGTTGGGTCGGCACTGGACCTCCCTCCCTGGCGCGCAGAGCGCGCCAAGGGCGGCGCCAAGTTCGCAGCAACGAGTTTCCAACGCCGATCCAAGAAATGCGCGCAAATCTCCTATCATTACTGAACATGGACCACGGAGCGTGGTCCCACGGGCGGGAAGAGTCCTGCATTGCCGGGCGATCCGCGCTGTTCGACGCCCTCGATCGTGAGTCGCGCTGCCTCCTCCAGGGCCTCGCATACGGTTTCCGCAACGTGGGGGATTGCGCCAGCTGCACAAAAGGTATGAGGAGGGCACATGAAGAGAAAGACCTTGACTTTGGTGAGCACGAACATGACGGACAAGGATAGCTTTTGGGTTCCGCCGAGGATCATCCGAGGACGCCCTTGGGACGCAAAGAAAAACATGGAATCGGAATGCAACGAAATCGAAGGCATACCTGGACAGCTAGACTGTTGGCACAAGCACTCCAAGGCAATGCAAGCAGAGATACCTGATAGTAAAACACGCGCGCTGGAAAGATAAGAAATGGTAAAGGAGGGCAAAAGCGAAGGAAGAAGACACAAAGCTGAATAACAGTGGCGACGGAAATGAAACAAATACAAACAACTATGCACAACAACGGATACAAAAAGGAGGGGGAAGAGGAAACAACATAAGGGGAGAAAAAAGGAAAGATGGCACGTGAAACGAAACAAAAAAGAACATTACAAAACGCAGCAAATAACACTGACACTGATCCACCATCGGCATGGGATCATGTTCCTTACCCTGACTTGCTTTCCTTTCCCCGTTGCACTCACCTAGGTCCTCTTGCCTCGCTGCCCACTGCGCCAGGGTGGGCTTAACCCTGTTGATGTCTCACAGATGCCGCGGTTGATCACCAACGTCTGCCAGACCCAAAAAAGTAACATCGGCAAGGAGGAGAAGGAGGAGGATCGAGAAGGAGGAGGAGGGGAGGCGGAGGGTCGAGAACAGCTGGGGAAGACGAGGAGGACCGAGTTCAGATGGTAGCGCTTCCTTTCCCGCCCTGCCGCTACTCCGGCGCGCGGGCTGGGTGCTCGTTATGGTCGGCGTGTGTGGCCGCATGACTGCTGCAGCCTAAAGGCTCGCCCCCTTAGATAAAGACCAGTGGCCCGTAGCAGACGTCGCAGGATGCCGAGGACGAGGCGATTTACATGCTGTCTTCGTGCCCTTTTGGGACAGTGGAGGTGTATGTCGAATGCGCCTCCACGGTTCATTATCTGTGCAATTAGTCGACCTCTTCCAAGTGCACGAACGCATGATCATATTCGGCAGCGTGTGTGGCATAATGATGATGGCACGTTGTCCGTTCAAAAGACTCGGGCGCACTGCAAGTGCGCCGACGTCGAAGCAGGCAACACGGATGCAAGCAGGGTGCTAAGCGTCACCCGCGCGCCCGGCGCTTGCGTCGGCACCAACGCCAGCGCCTACACCAGCACCGACGCCAGCGCCGACGCCAACAGCTGCGCCGGCGCCTGCGCGAACGCCAGCGCCATCACCGACGCCAACATCAACGCCTGCGATTGCGCCAGCACTAACGCCAGCGCCGACCCCAGCGCCGACGACAACACCGACTCCAGCAGCGGATTGCCAAACAGCGGCCCTCGCAATCGCCCGCGCGAAGCCCATGGAACCGCTGGGAGTGCCAGGCGCACCGCCGGGGCCGCCGGGCCCGCCGAGCAGGGCGTCCACGCTGCCGCGACGGCTGCAAGGCGAACCGCATTCGCGGTCACTGGCTCGACCGCTGTGTAGTTGCCAGACCACGTCTCTGACAACCGCCCGCGCGGGACCGGCGGGCTTGGCGCCCCCAGCAGCGGCCCGGGCGCGCGCCAAGGCGCCGTTCTGGCGGCGTCGGCGGCGGCCCCAGTAGCCCCGGGCGCGCCCCCGGCGGCCCTGGGCGCCCACGATCACCAGAGCGATGTTGGAGATCGTGGCCGATTTGCTGCCCCCGCGGACCCCTGGGCGCCCCTGGCAGCGGCCCAGCCGTGCCAGGGCGCCGATCCGGCGGCGTCGGCGGCAGCCCCAGCGGCCCCAGGCGCGGCCAGGCGGCCCCAGGCGGCCCGCGCCAACTGGAGTGGCGGGCGGCACGCGCAAGCAGGTACGACGGGCGGCTCGCGCCGGCCAGCACGCGGCGCTGCCGCGACAGCTGCGCTGGGGGCCATGAGAGGGCCATCATCCCTCTTTCGCACCTCGTCTCACTCACCCTCCTTTCCAGAAAGGCACGCCATCGCGCTCAGCGAATGTAGCTCGTCTTCCTTTTGCCTTGCTGCGAGCCCGTGCGCGACGAGGGGTGCTCTGGCGCCTGCTTGGCCAGATGGTGCCGTCGGCAGCGGTCGGCCGGGCCTATGCTTCCCGACGAGTGTTTCCTCCGGACGGGGCTCGACAGCTACTTCCCCCCGTGGAGGGTGGGACGCTCAGCAGAAAAATGTCACCAGTGCGCGGCTGCTGCTGCTGCCAGGGAGTTGGCAGAATTGCAGCTGCTGGCTGTCGAGGCGGGCAGGTGGGCAGTTCAGCAAGAAATTCTGCGAGTTGACCGGGTGGAAGAATGCAATGGAGCTTTCTCCTTACACCCCTCCACCTCCTAAGCCCTCTCCTGACCTTGCTGGCGAAGTCGCCTTCACCGTAGGTAGGGATAGGTTGTTGTTTCCCCTGGTCTCCACCGATGGTGATCCTGAACTTGCGATGTTAATGCAAGGGCAAGATCACCGCATTGTTTCCTGGCGGACGGGAGCCCCGTTTTGTCAGGCAGTCGCGTGGCCGAAGTAAATCATGTGGCAACTAGAATATGCCTGGGGAGGTGCACCAAAATCTTGCGAAGCCCTGCGAGGACCCCACCATAGTCCTGAAGAAGAAGCAGAACAGGGCTGCTGCAAGCAAAGGCATGGGCTGCGCACCGCAAAGATTACGCGGGCTGGAGAATCGGGCTCCGAGCTCCGAGTCTCGTCTCCCGGGAGGCCCAAGCTGGCGAGCTCCAGTCTGGGGTTGGTGGGGGGTGGTGAGGGGTCGGAGCTTCTCGCTCGGTTTGGGCTGAGCAGGACGACTGTCGATGCACGAGCGACCCGTGCAGAGCGCCTCAAGTATGCCGCTGCGAACGTAGCGAAGTCAGCTGAAGGCGGCAGAGATTCGGATTCAGGGGAGCACTGTCCTCCAGTGTCGTTTCTGCACTGTCATGATCAGGGCTTTCCGGCAGCACTCAACGGATTGCCCGCTGAAGCGAAGCGAAGCGAAGACGAGGAGGGCCCAGCAGGAGAGGAGGAAGACGAGAGCGGTTCTGGCAAGCAGCAGGCCGGCGGGCCACCCGCGCGGCGGCCGCAAAGCAGGCGCTGCCCAGCGAAGAGGGGCCTCGAGGCAGTAGCCCAGGTCGGTGAGGACCGTCTGCGCGGGAGGAGAGGGGGGGTGGGGGGGGCAGGAGGAGGGGGGCGGAAGGAGAAAGGGGAGGCAGGAGGAAGCGGAAGGGGGAGGAGGAAAAGGAGGGCGAGGAAGAGAAAACGAGCGAGCGACCCAAGAATGCGTCCGACGAACGATCTCACCTCAGGACAAATCACGGAAAACCTCAGGGACCGAAAGGTCAGACACTAGACCCAGGAGGGAGCGGGGCCACAGGGAAAGCACCGCCCATGAAAACCCTGGGCCAGGAAACCCGCCGGAGGAATCCTGGTATCAATGGAACCCCCAGGAGTACCCTCCTCGCTGACGGGGTGAAAGCCCGCGGTCAAACGTGCTCATGGCCGTGAGCTGGTTCCGACGTTTGCTCGGCTTCTCTGAGAGCCCAACGCACACCGTTCGGAACTTCCTCATGCAACGCACGACACCCGAATTACAGTGACCTGCACAGCGGCGGTAACAATGCAACACAGGAAACGTCCGTGCCCAAGAGCCCGAAACTCCGCGACGAGAGCATCGTAACCTACATTCGAAACTTCGTCGACATCCAGATGCTGAGGAGGTACCACAACGGCCGGGGCCGCAGGAAGGGGCTCCATCCCTTTGGGCTCTCACAGGGCTTCGTCGGCCGCCGCAAGGGCAGAGGCCACGCGGGGATCACTTCAAGGGCCCCGCCGCTCAGCAAACGTCCTGAATAACTCGGAGTCCAGGGCGCGTGCGACAGTACGTGGGGCACACGTGAGCCCGCCTCCCACCCCGAGATACCCTAGAGGCGCCTCAGCACGCGCAGTGGTCTCACAGACACGACACGTGTAGGACCGCAGACGCTTGCATCACCACATATCACGAACATTGTGCCCGCTGAGACACAACAGGATATCTGAACTCTGGGGCCTCTGGCTGAGGGAAACCGCCTCGGTCGTACCACTGAGACACAATGATCAGCTGCATACCCCGCGCTATATGGCCCAGCCAATGCGATACGTATGCTCTCGGTGACTGTCTCGGCCACCATGTGCGAGACCACTTCGAGCAAAACCCTGCCCAGATGCTGCTGGGCCAAGATTCATTCGATGGAGCCGTCGGCATCCACCACCCCGTCGATGTCACGGCGCGCTGGTGCCCACTGAAAACCAAGAGGAAGGAAAGCAAGAGAACGGGCACTGACGGCGACAAAAATATCTCTCCAGACTCTGGCGCGCGTAGCTGGATCGCCTTGCAGGGACTGTTTCCATCCCGACCCCTCCTGGGCCAAGGAACTCAAATCGGTCACGACAGAATCATGATCTGGCTGGCATGTGAGCCCCATCCGGATGCCATATTTCTGAGAACGCCCTACAAGCTGGACCAAACACGGCAAGGGGCCATAGGCGGCCCTCGCAAGAAAAAAAATGCCTGGATCGAGCTGGCACACAGACCACCCACGCCTCCGAGTTCTAGGCGCACTCGAAATAAACCCCGGCCCGTCCGCGTACGACTTCTTTCCCCAAGCCCCCCTCCAATGTCTCCCCAGGTGGATACTTCTGAACTTATTCTCATGGTGTGTGTCTCTGGTGGAGGCTATGGGATCCCATGAACGAGGTCCACGCTATCCCAAGACTGCTGCCAAATCCGCATGCAAGCGTGATGGAGTCGGTCTAGGTTGTTCTGGCAGCGAGTCAAGTTCTTCCTCAAGGCTCCCCTCCAGAAGCGGCGGAGAGACATGCAACATGTATCCGACGCACTCATCTTCCCGCAGGATCGACATGACCTGACTGGGCCTCCAGCCCTGAGGTCAAGACGATCAGGGATCGGGTTGTCATCTGCCCAGCGCTCTTGCCGCGTTCCGAGCCTTCCTGGACATTGAATAATCTTCGCCGAGCGACGTAATGCACGATACCAAACAGAGCAGCTGTGTGAAAACGCAACATGGACACCCTCAATCGGGTGTATAGATATGTATGTAGATGTATATACATATGTATGTGTGTGTCGCTACATCTTGAGAACTGGCGGTAGTAAACCGCGTGCGATGCCGAGATCCTCGACCACAACATGACTAGAATCGAGGCCCAATGCAATCCTTCGAAGCGGCTGCCACCTAAGGGGTCCTCAGGCTTGAGCCCAGCACGGTTTGTCCCCGAATTGTCCCAAAGCCGCACCCAGGCGTGATGTAAACGACCCGGCTGGACAAAGGAATCCCAGATGCACACGGCAAACTTGATTGTACTTTGAAGCGTGGCGTGGTAAATCGGGTCGCACATGTCATTGGGGCGCTGGTCAAAAATGCAGCGCCCCCCGTCAAGACCTGCCCGGGGGACCAATCTGCACTGCAGCAAAAATCCGAGCTCGCGCAGGGCAGCGTCGCTCATGCCTGCCAGACGGCAAAGCACCAGCGCGCCAGAGCGACGTCGAACGCTGACCCGCAGCCTTCCTCACCATCAGGCACCCCTGCCTCCTAGCCCAGAACTGCTTGAGACGCTCCTGCTCCATTGTGCTTCGGATTCTGGGGCCAAAGAGCTCTTGACCAAGGTTCCTCACGTGGGCCTTGTAAGAAATCCTGAACGAAACCATATGTTTTTGAAACTGACCCCACACGTTCCTGTTCCTGGGGGTACCACCTGAACCATGAACCGATGCGCCTCCTGGATTCTGGCATCGCGCCGAGACCCTTAGAGTCCAGCTGCAACGATGGTTCCCCCAGCTAGGCCCGAGACGACCTGCCAGGGGCGGGTGGCAGCGCGAAGGGCGTGCTGATGACGCCGCCATGCCATCTGCAAGATATCGACGCCGATCGCGCACTCGATGACGAGGCAGGCCCGCCGTTGGACAGGCTCCACCAATGCAACCACTCGCGGGCCACGGCAATCGCGGCCGACACGCCCCGCAAACGACCGTCGCGGGAGGGGGCTTGCCACGGGAAGTTGCGAGCATGCACTGCATACCTTGCACCACTGGGGGACTGTGACGCCGAAGCCGTATTCCATGGTTTGTGGTAGCGCCTCTCTTGCCATGTTGCGCCAGCATGTGCCCAGCGCTCGCGGCTGCCTGAAGCGCGCGAGGCACCGTCGCGCCGTCTTCACCCTGCGCTTCATGGTCCCGAACTTGACGAGATCCCCAAGGAGGTTGACACCCGACGCGCACCTGAAACCAGACCGTCTGAGCTTTGTCGCCACTGCCTTGTTGGCCCCCATGGAAAGGAGGAAATGATCCTGAAGCGCGTTCGCGAGGTTCGCCAGGAGGTCCACCGCCTACGACGACATCTGCTGGGCGAGCCCCATCATCGCCCTGGTGAAACCGTCGGATGTCCAGGCCATTGATCTGCAGCGGCACGGCCAGGTGCCTCGCAACGCACTGCTTGAAGGGCTTGATCACGAGATGCAAGAAGAGGCCCATGGCGAAGACACAGCCTAGCAGGAACGGCGGCTGCGCCGCGCCCGAGCGCCAGCCTGGTCTGCCGGCGCAGCCTCTCCCATTCTTTGATCATAACGGCGCGGCTGCTCGCCCGCAACCTGTATAGCGAGGGCAGGAATGCGAGCGGGAGTGCGAGGGGTCGGTGGCCACACTCCAGGCCGGGGCCTCTCGCCGCCTCCGTTTGATTGAGTACGCGCGCTGACGTAATCTGATGTGGCAGACAGCCCTAGACCGCCATCGCACGCAGCAGCAGGCCCGCGCGCGTCCGGTCCTGGCCCCGCCCTCCATGCACGGCAGCGCCCCGCGCCCCCCCCGCAGCTTTCGAGCGGTCAGGGGGCGCGCCTCGGCCGCGTCAATCTGCTGCAGAGCCTCGAGCACATGGGCCCCCATTTGGGGGCCCGAGGCCTCCGCGACACCCACGCGCCCCCCGCCTGCCCACATGCCGGACCAAGAGGTCTGCGGGCGCTGCCAGCTGCGCCGCGTCGCCAGGATAACATGACTTTGCGACATTGCGACTCGCCCGTGCGAGGGCCCATCCTTTTGGCATGGTGGTCACTTGGGTCTGCGTCACTTGACTTCGTGGCCACTTGGCCCACGCCGCGGATTCTGCCGACGAGCAACGGCGCGCGCGCGCGCCTGCTGCTCGTGGGGCGCCCAGCCAGGACTCCGGGCCCCCCAGAACGATGGACCTGGCCACCGCGCTGGGGAAGCAATTGGGATTCGCAAGCACCTGATAGACGACGCCCCCAATGTCGGCCATGATGACCAGCTCCCTCCCGGCGCGGCTGATGCCCAGCGCGCTGCGCGGCTTTCGGTGAACGCAGATCGCCCGCTGCATCCTGCCGGGGGCGCGAAGCCTCAGCATGCGGGGGCAAGGCAAGCCGCGAGCTCGGCGCGACCAAGCCGCCCACGGGTCACCGCGCGCGCCTGCGCCCCTCAGTCTATCAAAATCTTGCGCAGCTTCTTCTTCTTCCACGTCTCGCAGCGGCGCCGCGTCGCCCGACGCTGCTCCGCGCCGCCGACGACATCGACGGACGCGTCATCCACTAGGCCCTAGGCGCTGCCGATCCGCCCCGGGCCGCCTGCTGGGCCCAGTGAACCGCGCCACGCGATCGACCCTGTGGCCCCCGCCCACGCGCTCGAAGCCCGTCGGTGGCGCGATGGGGTGTGGCCGCCGGCGACGCCGCCCTTCCGCCCTTGCGCTGGCCAGTATCCTCCTCGACAACATGGACATGTGTCCAGGAAGGCGAAGCCCCCGCCCTGCTGGAATCCGTCGGCTGCTGCTGCTCCTGATGGGCCTGGCGACAGAGCTGTGGGGCGGCGCGGCCTGCGCGAGCGCTTAGCGCCCCCCCGTCGCCCGCCCTCCTGGCCGCTCCAGGAGCGCTGGCTGCTGGCCCCCGACGGGCAGCTTGTCTTCGGCGGGCCCCAGTCCCATCGGCAGGTTTCGCCTACGGCTCCCGGGCGATGCCGGCTGTGAGTGGCGGCGATGGCGGCAGCGGCAGCAGTTTTACGCGTCCAAGGAAGTGCAACGGCGCCGAGCTCATCATTTACATCGGTTGATCATGGGTCAAGGCCGAGCAGATTGCGAGCAGCGGCGACGCGGGCGCCGACGTCGGCTCTTTCCAAGAGTTGCGGCTCGCGGGTGGGGCCATCCAGCCCGGGTCGGGGAATTGCGCGCGCGCGCCGTGGTTGGCAGCCGTCTTTCGGCGAGGCCAAGCTGTCCGAGGCTGGGCTTTTTGTGGGCGGAGTGGAGCTTGCCGCGTGGGCCGGCGTTTGCGCCGCCGCTCTTCAGGTCGCGCCGTGTGGCGAGGGCTTCCTGGTGATCCAAGCCGTGAAGGGCGGCCCCGTCGTCGGCTCCGTCTACTTGGGCAAAGCCGAGCGCTGCAGCGTTGACGGCGTGCGCGGGCTGCTGACGGTCGCTGGGGCCACGCTGCGCCACGGCAGGCCTTTCGTCATTGTAGAAGACTGGGACAATCCGCGCGGGGTCCTGTTCGCCGACGGCGTCGTCCTCGAGCGCCAGGCGCCCCCGTGCATCGTGAAGGGTGCACGTGCTAGACATAGGACCACGCGTGCACGTTCCTAGATTATTCGCGGGCCAGCAAGTGCCTTGCGCCGCTCGCGTCGACCGCTGCGCCCGTGGGCGGGTGGCCTGCCTGGGTGCGCGACCCCCTGCGCCCTCGCGCCCGCAGGCCCGTTGCGCGCGGCTGGCAAGGGCGCGCATCGGCGATGGCGACGCTCGCCTGCAAGGGGACCAGCACCTGCTCGGACTGCTTATTAGCAGCCTCCTTCGCGTCGAACTCCTTACTGATGATGTCAATGTCCTGCTTGAGCTTGGCCGCCACGGCATCATTTGCGCTCGCCTCGCCCAAGCCCACCTGCTCGTCGCACACGGCTCGGGCGCGCTGCGCGAGGGCGGCCCCAGGGACCTCGGAGCTCCCCGCGCGGCCGAGCCCGCGCAAGGAACCGATGCCGCGTCGGCGTGGCTGCATCTCGTCGCTGCTGGCATCCTGAACGCCCAGGGGTCGGAGTCGGCCATCGCTGCAGGCGGCTCCGCAGAGCGAGGGCGCCAGCCGCCGCTGCCAGCGGGCCCTCCACCGGCACCGCCCGCGCCGCTCGGCCCAGCCATGCCGGGCCCAGGTCGACAGCGGGCGCGCCCCGCCAGTGCGCCCGCGACGCCGCGACGCCCGGTCGCCAGACAAGCCCAATGGCCTCCGGCGACGCGACCGAGGCGGGCGCCACTATCACGGAGCAGCTGCGTCGCGAGAGCCAGGGCCATTGCCAGCCATGGCCCAACTCCGAGGCGCCGATCCGCGATGAACCAAGAGCCGCGGGGCAGCTCCACGTAGTTCGCCGCGATGCCATGCCCGACTGCACGCAGGAGTGACCCTAGGCTAGAGTGACCTGTGGCGCGCGGCTTCAGGGGCGCCGGCGGGGGCCCAACGCAATCGCGCAAGCTGGCGCTGCCGCGCCGCGTCAACGATCGGCGGGGCGCCGTTCGAAAAATGTTTTGCGCCGGCGGGCAGGCGCGGAATTCCGCCGATTGAGTTTGAGCGCCCCGAATGGCACCTCGAAGGCGCTGCGAAAGCAGACGCTGCCGGGGGCCACCGCGATGAGGTCTGGCACTGCTGGGCCGCGTCGCGATGACATCTGACCAGGCTGGGCGTCATGACCATATGCAGCCCCGTCCGAGAGCCTGGAATATGTTTCAATGCGTTTGGACAACTTATCACAGCTAACAACCCCGCTGGCTCGAAAAAATCAAACATATTCAAAAATACCCAAAGAGATTCAAAGATATCCAAATATGTCCAAAGATGTTCAAGCCAGACGTTTGGGGGTGTGGGCTGGGATTCGGGGTTGGTTCTGGGCCAGAAGAAGGGCCGCCTGGTCGACTGGCTCCCCCCTCGGGTAACCAATGCAGTGAGCATCTTCTGTATACCAGAACGTGTTTTCCCAATCGAGCTGCCTCCCCCCTCCTCCTCCCCTTCAGATGGCAGCGCGTTTAGCGGACTGCATCGCAGACGCGGTTGGCGTGCTTTCAGCCGCCTAACTTGTCTATGCGCCGATTGGGCGCCTGGCTTGACTGAACTAGCCCACTGAGCGCGAGTGGTTTAGAGCGCTTCCTCTTTTGACTCACCTTCTTCCCCTTCGGGGAGGGGCTCAGCTCTCTCCCGACCCGCTCCTCGCGGGTCGAGGGAACATTTAAGAAGACCGCGGCGAGAAGGCAAGTTTGATGTGGCGTAGGTTTGGGACACATGTTGGCCTCCTGGGGGGGGGGCCCTGATTGAGCCCCCCATTTCTTTGACCAAGCTCCGCCAAGATGGCCCAACAATGGCTCCCAAGAGGGCCCCTAAGAGGCCCTCAAGAGGTTCCCAACAGGCTCTCAAGAGAACCCCAAAGAGGCCCCCAAGGGGCCCTAAGACGCCCCCAGGGGACTCCAAGAATCTTTCAGGAGACATTCGAAGAGCCTCCGAAAGGCACAGAAGAGGCCTCTAGCCATTCTGCTCCTCCTCCTCTTCCTCTTCCTCCTCCTCCTCCTCCTCGTCCTCCTCCTCCTCCTCCTCCGCTTCCCCAGCCCGTTATCCCACTGCATGCTCCTCCACATCCCTGGCCAGGGCAACTCTGGGCACCGTTCCTGGATGGGCTGGCGGGGTTACGCGAAGCGTCTAGAACAATCCAGAGATCCACGCGGATGTCCTGCATCGGCGCTGGAGACCCCCTCCAAGGCGCGCTCGGCGCCGCAGGCGCCGCCAGGGGGCCAGGCTCCGACCCGAGAACTCCGCGCGGACCTTCGAAAGGATACTTACTTTAGCTGCGCGCTCTTCCTCGAGCTTCGGCTCGGCGGGGGATCGGCGACTGCCTCCGTCCCCCCCTGTCGGAGCCATCGAGAAGGAGGGGTGGCGGTGTGCCTGTGGGCCCCCCGTGGACAGGCGAGAAGCCGCTAGGCCCGGCCGACCGCCTCGGCCCGGCGGAGCGCCGACGGCTGCCGACCCCCGACATCCGTCGCCTCCTGATTCCCAGCCCTGCAGTGGTGTTGGGTCCTCGTTCCATCTCCGCAGCAGCTCGCGTCTCCTCCTTCCTTCCATGTTCCTCCTTCGTCCCTTCCTCCCTCCTCCTCCTCCTCCTCCCCGCCCGAGGCTCCTGCCGGGCGCCCAGCAGCGCCGCCGCCAGTCCCGCCACCTGCGCCGCGGCACCGGCGGGCGGGGAGAAGGATACCAAAAGCGGGCAGCCGCCCTTTTCCCATGCCTTTCCATCCGTATCCCTCTCTACACCTCCCTCCTCCCTACTACCCCTTCCCCTAACCCTTCCCCTTCCCCTCTGCATCGTCCCTGTCGTCGTCCTCCTCCTCCTCCTCCTCCTCCTCCTCTTCCTCCTCCTCCTCCTCCTCCTCCTCCTCCTCCTCCTCCTCCTCCTCCCCCTCAGTCCATTGGCCTGATCAATCACTCCTCAGTGCCGCACCCCGAGACGTGTCGGTCGGGCGGGGGAGCGCTTCGCCTGAGAATCCCCTCCAGTTTGCAAGTCAAATCATCTACAGGGATGAGGCTCTCGCCTTTAGCCCGCCCACATTCGTCTCAGGTTTGCAATAGATACTAGAGGGCTGGAAAACCTGTCGATTACAAACTGAGGCGATCGCCCTTGCGACACGCATTCTGGTCAAAAAACGTGCAACAGCTACAAGAACAAAACCCTTGTCGCTTTCAACATGGGGTTCTTGTCTCACCGCCGCTCACATCCGCCTAACAGCATGGCAACGGTTCGATGGAGCGCAGGTCATTTTCGAAACTGGGATCCCGCCTTGGCGCGGCGTGAATTAGCTTTACCATTTTGTAGCGGCTACGAGAATGGAGCATGGATCGTTTTCGGAATGGATCTCTCGCCTTACCGCACGCAACAATCATCTGCCAGCTTGGCAACAGATACAATAACGGAAGACCGCTCCTTTTCAGATAGGGAGCTGCTGCTTGAGACCTCACCTTTGTACACATATGTAGTGGAATATCAAGCCTAGACAACAGAAGCAGCTGCACGGATGGAGAGCGCTTGCGACCTCCACAAATCTCAGTGCAGCAATTACACAGTGTGGGGCGGCCCGCTTTCAAAACAGGCACGTCGCTTGACACCACGGTGAACTGCACGATCATGCCTTGTCGTACTCCCGGTTACGCGCTAGGAATACATACTCTGCAGTTAATTTGCCAGACGGGGCTCTCGCCTGAATGGAAGGCCCACAGGGTGCTGGACATCCACCAGGGGCGCTTCTTGGGGTGTATTGCAGCATCGCTGATGCATCTTAAGTTTATTACAGTCCTGCATCCTCCTCCTCCTCATCCTCCTCCTTCAACGCGCAAACCGCAAAAAGGTCGGGCGAGAAGGGAGGAGGGGGAGAAAAAAAATAAGGAGACGGGCGGCGCTGCGGATTCAACCCGAGGACCCAAGTCCACGGGATGATAAGGAAAAAAAGGAGGCGGGGAGGAGGACAAGCGAGACGCGCGGCGCTGCGGACTCAAAACAAGAACCCAACCCAACACAAGATGGTTGCGGAAAAGTCGATCCATCGTGGGAGGCGCTTGTCCCAATTTTCATCCGCTGATTTTCGTCAGACCCAATCATCCCTCATCCTCCCGCCCCCCTCCTTCGAGTGCGCCGAAGAGGGGGCGAGGAAGAGGAGGGTGAACGACTCGCGGCCAGAGGCATGTGCGCGGAAGAGGGGTCCAAGGAACGCTCTGAAAGACGAAGAGGGGGCCATGAAATCTGGCAGACCTCATGGCCCAAGCCATGACAACCCTAACCATCACCCCCGAAGTCGCGATTGCGATCGCAACGAGGACCCCCACAGGTCTGGACCCCTCCCCTGGGGCCCGCCCCCTGCAGCGCAGCCCCTGGCCGCGCCGACCGGCGACAACGCGCGCGCCGGGCCCAGGCGGTGCGGATCCCTCCCTGGGCGGTCGGGGCGCACCCCGCGGCCCGACCCGAGCTCCAGCACCCTCCTCGGCCGGGGGGGGGCAGGGGGGCGCTCGCGCAGCGCCGCGAGGGGGCGGGCCGACGCTGGGAGTTCTCGCAGGCGGGGCGCTCGCCGACGGCGGCCGGCCACGGCAGGAAGCGCAGGCGAGCACTCGAAGCTTGTCGGATGGATGCGTTCTCGTGTCATCGCAAATGCTCGAGACCCGGGGTGGTCTCCAGGAACTGCGCATCGCCGAGAACCTTAGAACCGTCCCAAGGTATTCGAATCATCCCGAACGGCCGCTGGATCCCTGAGTTATGGAACGGGGACCACCAGGCCAAGGCCCTGGCGGTGGTCAGCATCGTTAGACCTATCCAGCGCCCCCTGGGCCATGGTTCCTCAGCGCCACGATGCCTGACGGAGACGGCATCGAGCCCCACCTACTAGCGGGGTAGGTAGGACAGCTGGGGCCAAGGCTTGATGGGAATAGGTCTCACGATGCCGAGACAAGGGCAGGCGGGCGCGCGGAGGGCGGGGTGGCCCCAAAGTGGGCCGAAGGAAGGGCTGGCGCGGAGGGTCACCAGAAGAGGGATGAACCCGAAGGAGCCGGGGAAAGGTCGAAGATCCGAAGGACGCCTCTTCGCCCAATGTGTGTATGTGAGATACCCCGTTTAGCTCAACCGATGACGCAAATTGTACAGGCCTGAGCTGAATCGGATCACGAAGTCGAGTTGGATCGGAACGGGATCAAATCATCAGGGAATCGTCCCGAACCAGAGCGACATCGGATCGCCGCGCCTGGTTCTGGCTGGCCCTGCCCGACGTTGGTGACTCGAACCGAACCGAACCGATAGTCGCGGCCCCATCCAGCGAATCGAATCGCGTCAAAACGGATTAGGCGACCCTGCCTTTGTCAATCCTCACTACACCGCCAGCGTCGTGTTGAAGGGCTCCCGTGAACAAGCACACACGCTGGCTGGCGCTGACGCACGCTCGTAGGATCATCGAGAAGATCGATGTGGTCGCGCCTCACCTGACATCCCCTCCAGCCCGCCCGTCGCTTCTCCCTGCGTGCGGCCCTCCCCCCTGCCCACCTCCCGCCGCGTCCCTCCCGGGACGCCGCCGGGAGCCTCGGCCCACCACCGGGGCGCAGCCTCGCCATACCCAGCCAGCGCACGGGGCGGCCACGAGGCGCCCACGGCCGCCCGCCGAGCGAAACCTCGCCACGCCCGCTGGATCACTCGTGAGCCCCAAGGGGGGACTCTCCGAAGGCCCACGGACAGCCCGTGGGCTGGCGCCGGAAAATCCCGTCCCTGGCGCGCGGAACGCGCCACGGGGCGGGGCGGGAGACGCCGCCGGGGGTGGCCCAGCACCGATCCAGGAGGTCCGCGCGGACCTCCGAAAGTTTGGGCTACGCTGTTCTTCTTCTTCGGTTCCTGCCATCCCTCCGCGAATGGCAGGCCCCCCCCTGCGAGCCTGCCGGCCACGAGGCGGGGGTTCTGCTCCAGAGCCTGCCGACCGGGGGCGGCAAGAGCTGGAGGGGAGGCATGCTCCCAGGGGCAGGGGCACACAGGCACGAAGAGAGAGAGAGAGAGACAGAGCTGGTATGTTTCGCAATGAGCTGGTCTGTGAAGGCCTCCTAGGATGGGGCAAGAGAGGACGGGGTCGAAGGATCGCACGGCATGGCCGAGGCATCGGCGATGCTGCGTCGGGATGGAGAAACTCGGGCTCTATCTCGCACCGAGTGGGCGATGCATCGGAGATGCGGCGCTGGCCCCGTTTCGAAAGCCTGGAGTCTGGGAGGAGCAAGCGACGAGGAGGATCGTCAAGGCGCAAGAAACACATCACGTTGCCCCCTGAGCGCCACTTGATCTCTGCGCAAATTTCTTCGTGGATCGTTACCCTCTCCAACTCACACATGAAGTCCACTAGCGACACGTCGATCGTGGACAAACGGAAAGCCATGCCGGTGAGCATGCCAGCCACCTCTGGCACGACCTTGTTTCCGAGCGCCGCGCGGTCACCACGCCAATCCTTCGTCGATGCCCCGTCCACGGTAGGCTGGGACGCGTTCATGGCGAGAACCGTGAATGCCGAATGCGTCGCTGACAGCATGAGCCGTAGGAGCCAGGCCGCTCGTGGCGCACAATGCGCAATACAAGCAGCTCACGTCGGTCTTGTAGGCATCCTGGCTCGCGCCCATGACGATTCTGTGGCGGTCATCCTTGGCCGGGGACAAGAGCACGACCTTCGTCGCGCGAGCCTTCAGGCGAGGCTGGATCTTCTCGTCCGTCAAGAACACGCCAGAGGGCTCGCGAACGAACTTCGCACCGTACTGCCTCAAATGGGTTTCGGCCCGATCACAGGTGCTCGACAAAGCCACTGTGGCCGTGGATCAAAGGCGGGTCTCCGTCGACCTCGACGGAGCCGTCGCACCTGCCATGGATCGAATACGCACTTCCAGCTGGTACGCCAAGCTCCGCCCCCCCACGCAGGCATCGGGTCGGGCGGCACGTTGAAGCGGGCGGGCGGGCTTTCAAGCAGGCGAACAGGCGGCCCCTAACGGGCGGGCTGAGCGGGCAGACTCTCACGCGCGGATCGGGCGGCTGGGCCCCAACGGGCAGGCAGGTCGGGCGGGCAGGGCTTTGGAGCGAACTCCGAAAATAGTAAGAAGCCTCATGCGACAGCACTAGTCCTGAGTAAATTGTGAGGTATTCTCGGGCGAGAGCGAGACTCCTGGGTGTCGAGAACGGAAAGCTTTGTACATTGCAAGGCAGTCCTATGCGAGGGAGCGATTCCTGCATAATTGTAGGAGAGCGCGGTTCAAAATGAATCTCGAGGAAATATCAGGCGGGCGCCGTTATTGTTGTAGTCCGGGGGCGAGCAATGCAGTTTGACTAGGAAGGCTTCCCCTAATGACGAAACAGAGTGCGAGCCCCGGGGGGGGGGCACTTCAACAAAACAATAAAATGGGCACCAGAGGGGCGGGGATCAACAGTAGCTAACATATTACTCAGAAGTGACAATAGTCCTACCATCACGACTAACCTCCCTCGAACTCATCCATTCAGAAACTGGGGGAATCCTTGATACCCTCATCGAATTGAGGCGACGTTAATCCTAGGGATAGAGATATGATTAAGGCTGGTCAACTACAAACAATTATGAATTACCCCGCATGGGAGACCCCTAGGTTCCAGTTCCGCTCCACGTGATCCACGATAAGCGAAGCCTGATCCGAGTTCCAAGAATCGTGCCAACCACACCCCTGGCAACCGCGACCCACAGCAACACCAGCAACACTAGCCTCATAACCCTCACTTATTTACATGCAATGTTACGGCCAGTACATGCCTGTGAGCTCGGAGGAAATACCCCTCCCGTAGGAATCCGACTAGGGCTGCCTACAGCCCAGGCCCCAACTCGATACGTCTAGACGTCTAGCAGTGCCGCCGCGAAATGCTCGGCCTCGTCCCAGACCCAGTGGTGGTCACTTCCAGCCTGCCACTCATCGTGTTTCGCACTCGTGATGAGAACAATGAAAACGACGATGGCGATGACGATGACGTCATTGTCATCGTTACTGCCCTGCCGTTTCGCATGCTCTCCTACGGAGCTCATAGGATACGCGCATGATTGCCATACCCCCTCAATTGAGATGCACACCTTCTTCGTGTCCCCACGTTAAATCTCGGAGTGGGTACCTACCAACCGGTGTGAGCCAAACACCACCTCTGACACGAAGACTCGTATTCCCATGCTTCTGCGCACCACTCACCTCCTCGACACCTCGTGGAGGCTTCGCGGAGGTTGGCTGCACCTCACAAATCGCGTCTGGAGAACGCAAGGCCTTCACAAGACCCTCAGGCGAACGCTGGCACGCGCATGGGAAACCAATAATCATTAAGATCAAACACTGCAGTGTCACTGACTTGTGCGCCAAGTACGCAGGCCTCCCAAATGGGGTCGGAGCAGATTGCGTCAGAGGATCGCGCCACATCGCCGATGCTTTGGCGATGCATCGGCAACGGCGGGATGGAGAAGACCAGGTTCCAACTCGCGCCGTATGGCCGATGCATCGGCAATACGGCGCAGTCCTCCGCCCCCATCTGCTCCGGCACGACTCGGGGGGGCCTGGAAATCGAAGCACATCGCAAGGGAGGTCCCAGGATGGGCACGCGGCACGCAGGAGGGCCTTCGCCATGGCAATGGCTCCGTCCCAGATGCTGCGGCCGGTATCCCCGTGCTCCTGCGCGCGGAGGTGCCCTCCCAGGCGAGACCAGAGGCCTGCGCCCAGCCCATCCCTTCAAGGCCATGCGACTCCTCAGAAAGCGGCAAACGGGGAGCGTGGTAAACCAGCAGTTTTAGCCCTGGGTCGAAGCACTCACCGTTCGCTGTTTCCTCCCGCCGTGCCTTGCCGTGCCCTGGACTGGAGGGGAGAGGGGGGGCCGAGGACGGGTCATGCCAAGGAGAGATCACCACTGAAAGGGTTACCAACTCCTCAAGGAAGAGGACTACCCTGCACCCCCAAGGTCCCCCAGGACTCCCAGAGACTCCCACAAGCGTGCCAAAAACCCTCGATCCTCGATGCTCCCTCCTCCTCGCAGATCCTAATAAATGCCCATCAAGAGGCAGTGACCCCCTGACTTGTCTCCCATGGCATTGCGCGGGAAAGGACGCCTCACGGGTGACCTCAGCGGGCCGCGCGAGGCCGCGCCCGCGGGGGGCATCCCCCCAGAGCTGCCCGGACGGCGCGGAGCCCTGGGCCCTGGCGTTCGCAGGCAGCCAACCTCGTCGGACCCATCGCGCCGCCCCTGGGCGGAAGCAGAAAGCGCCCTGGGCGAAAACAGGCAGCAATCCAAGTCCCCGAGCTCGGGCCAGCTCGAGAAAGCCCCCCCGTCGGCGGCGCGCACAAGGGCGTGGCGCGAGGAGGGCAGCATCCTACGAAGGCCATCCTAGAAGAATCAACATCTGCGGACCTCCTGGATCGGCGCCGGACCCCCCTCCCTGGCGCGCGGAGCGCGCGGAGGCAGCGCCAGGATGCTCCAGCGCAGATCCAGGGAATCCGCGCGGACCTCGACGCCGCCCTCGCGCCACCCCCCTGTGCGCGCCGCTGGCCCTGGCTCCCTGGCCGCGCCGAGGAGGACCTCCCCCCCCAGGGGGGGGCCACGGAGCGGGAGGTGAGCAGCATGGCAGGCACGGGCAGGAGTTCGCCCCCCCCCCCCAAACAAAAGAGCGAAGGCGAAGAACAAGCACGCAAATGCTTTTCTTATGAGCTTCGCGCAGTTGGGCGTGGCTTCATGGGGGGGTCATAAATGGGGGGTCAGAAACGGTCCCCTTTCGTGCCCCTTTCGAGCCCCTCCGGACCCCCAGGGGGCTCGTTTAGGTACCGTTTGGGTACCTTTTCGGACCACCCTCGCCACCCCCCCATTTATGACCCCCCCATTACGCAGCGCCCAACGCAGATTTCTTGGGTCTGCGCCGGGCCCACCCACCTCCCCCCGCTCGCGGAGCGGCGCCCGAGGCGCCGCCGGGGGGAGCACGGACCGCCGACCCAAGAAGTCCGCGCGGACCAGAAGGCAAGATCGGCCAGGCAGGCCTGCACCGGCACGGAGCCAGGACCGAATCGGATTCGGCCGCGCCAGGAAGCACAGCAGCGGATTCGGCCGCGCCAGGAAGCACAGCAGAGCTACAGGATCGCTGGAGCATCGGAACCGAATCGGACCGAGCGGGCCGACATCGGTGTCGAATCAGATGTGCTCGGACCGGGAGGGGCCTCAGCCTGGCGCCAGCCGCACGCGCTGCAACCACGTCGCGCCGCCGCACCAGGTTTGGCTCCGGCAGGGGGGAGACGCTGCAGCCCCGGGCTCACGCCCCTCTCGCCCCCTCTCCTTCCATCATTCTCTTCTCTCCCTCCGGCCCCTTCTCCTCCCCTCGACTGATAGATGTCCCCCTGTGTCTCTGCTTTCCCTCTCTCTCTTTCTCTCTGTCTCAGTTCTCTAACGAAATTTGTTTGTTCTCTCTCTCTCTCTCTCCCCCCTCTCACCCTCTCTTCCTCTCTCTCTCTCTCTCATTCACTCCTTCTCTCTGCCTCGCTTTCTGTCTCTGTCTCTCTCTCTCTCTCTCTTTCCTCTGCCTCTCTGTGTCTCTCTCTGTCTCTCTGTCTATCTCTCTCTCTCTCTCTCTCTCTCCCTGTCTCTGTCTCTCTGTCTATGTCTCTCTCTCTCTCTCTATCTCTCTGTCTCTCTGTCTCTGTCTCTGTCACTGTGTGTCTCCGTCTGTCTCTCCCTCTCTCTCTCTCTTTCTGTCTGTCTGTCAGTCTCTCCCTCCTTCTCTCTTTCTCTCCCTCTCTCTCTCTCTCCCCCTCTCCTTCCGTATTCATACTAGAATCATCGCGCGCGCTTCGCGCGCGCTCAATTTCTACTTGTCATGGAGCCAAGCATATAGCGCTTCAGAGGGACCGGGTCCGGCCTTAGCTTGGAAGCTCACGCGCTGGTGTCTGAAGTCACAGTGAGGCTTGGTATTCGCAGCAGTCATTGGCCATCTTTCGGCAAGATTACATCTCTCTTCTGGACAGTTTGGGCCTCCGAGGCAACCTTGGAGCCCCACTTTCGCAACAGAGTGGAACTCCAGAAGAGACAGCAGGACGGGAGCAGGAAGGAGGGAGGAGGATGAAGAGCAAGGAGGAGAGAGGGGAAGCGAGAACGGGAGGGAGATGTGGAGGGAGGAGAAGGCAGCAAGAAATGAAAGAGAGCAAAAGAGTGAGAGATGAGGGAGGCGGGAGGGAGAAGGGAGGAAGAAGCAGGGGAGAGGAGGCAGAGATGGGTGAGGGAGAGGGGGAGGAGGCAGGATGAGGAGGAGAAAGAGGATGACCAGGAGGAGTGAGGAGGAGAGTGTCTGTATACCTTCTGGAATGAAGGTATCCTCGATATGAGGCGTGCAAGAAATATCATGTAGTCTCTACACGGGCCGCTCAGGGGACTCGCGCGGGGCACTGGGCGTCTATTGGGGGCCGCTTGGGGGCTCCTTGGGGGCTTCTTGGGGGTCTCTTGAAGACCACCACCATGCTCCAGGAGCACATTGGCACCGAGGGTAATCGGAGGGCCGCTGGGGGGGAGCTTTGGGAGCCTCTTTGGGGCCGTTCCTGAAGCGCTTTTGGGTCGTCTTGGGCGCTGTGTGGGCCGACTTGGGGCCACATTGGGTTTCCTGGGGGGCGCTGGGGGGGCTCGTCGGCGGCCTTGGGATGCTCTTGGGGCCTGGTGGAGCTGCCTGGGACGCTGGTATAACAAAAAAAGAAAATGCTAAACATATGTGTTTCCCCGTCTCCCAAAAGAAATCAAAAACAATTCTGCCGCTCAAAACCCTCAAAGAGGTTCTCTTGGAGCCGTCTTGGGGCGCTTTGCGGGCCTCCTGGCCCGTTGTGGAGGCCCCCATTGAGCCCTCAAGATGCCCCCGAGAGCCCTCCTAGAGGCCATCGAGACCCGAGAGGCATCTCAAGATAACTCAATATGCATCCAAGAAGCCTCTGACCCACAACCCAGGCACGGCGGCGGAATGGGCCTTATAATACTGGATACCACTCTCTCCTTCTTTGTTGGTATTGTTTTTGTGGTTATACCTCCTTCTTGTCTCTCTCTCTCTCTCTCTCTCTCTCTCTCTCTCTCTATATATATATATATATATGTGTGTGTGTGTGTTTTATCTCGCCCTCTCTCCCCCTTTTTTCTCTCTCTCTCTCTCTGTCTCTCGATCTCTCTCTCTCTCTCTCCCTCCCCCCGTCTCTCTCCCATCCCGCTCCGTTCCCCGAACCCCCCTACAATCAATCTCGTCAATCCCCCACTTCCCCCTCTCCATCGGGTGCACGGAAGAGGGGGGCAGGAAGAGGAAAGGTTATCGCATCATTGCCGGAGACATGTGTGCGGACGAGGGGAGGCCAAGGCGGCATACTGAACGAAGAAGGGCGGGCGCGCTATATCAGAGATGTCATGGCCCTGGCCATGATACCCCACTAATCGTCATCCCCCCCTCCCAAATGACGGACAATCATTAACATGCAACTGGGCACCCCCCGACGCCTCTCGGCGAGGCGCAGCTGCTGGAAAGCATCCCGAGGCAGGAGAACAGTAGCGTAGATAACCCAGGAATGCGCTTGAAATCTCGAACATCGAACACCCCTGAGCAGATCCCAACTTTCGCTGAAGCACGCGACCGCTCCTGCCACTCTTGCCGGGCGATGTTCGATCGGAGGGGCAACATGGGTGAAGAGGGTGCACCACTCGCGCACGTGCGGGGCACAAATGGACCCCTTTGGGTTCCCCTCTTGCAAACCTCGATCCTCCCACCTGTCGTCCTCCATTTGTCACACACACACACAAACACGCATACACACACACACACACACACACACACTGACACACACACACACACTGACACACACACACACACACGCGAAGATCTCCCACCGCCCCCCAACTATCATCCCCCACATCTCGTCCCCAGATACCAAACCCGACCTTGGCGCGGCTCCTGTGCACCGGTGCCGCGCGCGCCCAGTCGCCACGGCCCGAGCAGCAGGGGCGAGCCGCCGATGGTAAAGTCTCCGTCGAAGGCCGCGTGGAACTGCGCCTCGGGGGGGGCGAACGGCTCCCTTTAAAGCGGCAACTCCTGGGAGGTCCTGAGAACGATGAAGGGCACCCGCGATCAAGGGGCTGGTCAGCCCGAGTCGGCCAGATTGAACACGCCGAAGTCCGAGGTTACGCCAGATCAGGCGGGATAGCGTAGGAGTAGGCGGGATGAAAGGCTTTCGACCAAGGGTATACCGCCGATGCTGAATTCAACCCCCCCTAAGTCGGCATCATACTCCCACGACTGGATATTAAACAATCTAAAACGAAAAGGACACGGGAGACCTGGAGTCGGGTGCGAGGCGAGGCGAGGATATATCCACATCCACCACCAGGGGAGCCGACGTCCCAAGACCCAAAGGGGCGCTGGATGCGGATACTCGTTAGCCCCAACGGGCCCGAACACATCCACATCCACAGCATGCCGAGGTTCCCAAGATCGACCCCCCAAGCGGTAGTCATGTATAAATCCTGGGCGTCGGAAATCAATGTTCTAGAAAAACATGGAACAAACAACTTTCCTGGGAAAAGGGCGCCCGGCACAGAGGGAGAGCTGGTGTACGACAGAAGTGGAATCGGTAAAAGGATTTTGTCATTATTTGTTTGTTAATATTATTCTTCCATTCTGAAATGCATATGACGGAATAAAATTGCTTCCAGATGGCCCGAGACGGCCCAAAAAGCCCCCAGGAGGCCTCCAAGACGGCCCAGGAAGCCTCCAAGAGGACCTACTGCCCGAAGAGGTCAAAATCATTGAGTGTCCGTAGGTTGTTGCAGGTTTGGGATTATGTTCCTTTTCGACCTTCTGGCGGCCAAAAAGGTTCCTAAGATCGCATCAGAGGCCTTAGAGAGGGCCCCATGACGGCCACAAAAACTCCAAGATGGCTCCAGGAAAGCCCAAATACAGCCCAAGAGGCCTCCAAGACGACCAAGATGGCCTCCAAGACGGCCTAAATGCCCCCGAGAGCCCAAGATGACCGCAAAATGTCTCCAAAACGGCCGCAGATGCACCAAGACGGCATCGGATGACCTCAAAGTGGTCCAAGATGGCATGAGAAGCCCCCAAGAGGACTCCAAGACGGCCCAAGAGGCCTCCAAGAGGACATACAGCAGGGCTCGAAGAAGCCCAAAGCATGGATGTTCCTTAGGCTATTGAAGAATGTTGGCATGTTCTTCAAAACGGCCTTTCCACGGCCCAAGACGGCCCAACAGACCCCCTAGATCGTCCAAATTTCCCCACAGAGGCCATGAACTGGCCCCCCGAAGGCCACAAACCCGCCAAGACGGCCCCAAGAGGGCTCTAGAGGCCTCTAAGGCAGCCAAGATGGCCTCCAGGACGGCCCAGGTGCCCCCAAGAGAGTCCCTGAAAGCCGCAAAATGCCTCCAAGACAACCCAAAATGCACCCAAGACGGCATAAGATAGCCTCAAGTTAACCCAAGCCGGCCCAAGAGGGCTTCAAGACAGGCCAAGAGGCATCCAAAACGACATACTGGAAGGCCCGAGGGGACCAAAGTCATTGATGTTCTCATGCTCCTCGAGGTTTTGGGCTTTTCCTCCTTTTCGGCCATCCGACGGTCCAAGACGGCCCGAGAGGCCTCCAAGAGGACCCCCAGGAAGGCCCTCCCCTACGTGTTCCCCGAAGGGTTTCCACAATCGCTGGGCGGAGCATATGACCCGATAGTTTGACCAAATTTTGGCCACAACGTTCGGCCACATAGGCGCTTCCAAAAAGGCAAGGGGCGGCGGTGCTTCGCCGTAGGCGTCTTCGATATATACATATGTATATAATTGTTGTCTCTCTCTCTCTCTCTCTCTCCCTCTCGCTTTGTATTATATATACGTGTCTGTGTATCGCTCTGTCTCTCTCTAAATATAGATGGTGTTCCTGCTGTGCATTTGTGATAGCACTCTATATATAGATATATGTACCTGTGTATGTGTCTACATGTCATATACCTGTGTGTATGTGCATACAGCTTCCCATATCTCTCTCTCTCTCTTTATTTCTCTCTCTCTCTCTCTCTCTCTCTCTCTCTCTCTCTATTGATATATATATATATGCTCCTCTCTCTCTCCATGCCGATGCATGATCTGCACTGCTGCTAGAGTCTAGAGCAAAGTGGGGGCCGCGCCGACGGCAGGGCGAGCTGCGTCCTCGCGCGGGAGAGGGGGGAGGGACATGTGGCCCTGCACATCCCTCTGCTCCTCCTCCTCCTACTGCTCGTCATCCTCCTCCCTAGGGGTAATCACCTCTGCCGAGCCGCAGTCCCACCCACCCACCCGACGGTCCCGCCGACCAGCAGCTGCTCCGCCGATGCCTCGCGGGGCCAGCTCTCTGTACCTCTGTCTCTCTTATTCTCTCTCTCTCTCTCTCTCTGTCTCTCTCTCTCTCTCCACTAGGGACAGGGAGGCGTCACGCCCGCGGACCAGTGGGGGGCATGCTCCTTTCCTGCTCGCCCTCCGTCTCCTCCTGTCCTCCTGGGAAAAAACAGGAGGAGGACCCTACTACGATGTCACGTATCTGAAACCATTCGCAGGTCACGATGCCCACCACCTACCCACCTCCCCTCTCTCCGTCCTACTAACGCAGGCTAGGGACAAGATCAGGCAACGACAACCCTACGACTAACTCAGGCATAGCAAACTAAGGGTACATCACGTCTAGTAATACAACTGGCTGGCAGGTACTACTCCCCCAGCCCCAACCCGCATCACCGGAGGAGGCACCAAATCGGACCAGGACGGGACTCAGGAAACCACCAGGAGGCACCATCGACACCAATTAAAATCACCACAATAACTGACACCAGCACGCATCCGCAACAATTGTTTCCTGGAGCACATCTCACGCGACTGTGGTCCCTCACTGCTTAGGAGGAGCAGCAGGGCACTCACGAGCCATGACGATGGGCACGAGGGCTAACTACTATGTCGGACGGTGTCGGGGCGACGTCGCCTGGTGCAGGCGCGAGCGCTACCTCTGCAGCGGGAGGTGGATCATTCCAGCACTACCGCGGGGACGACCACAACCGAATCTTCGGGTTCATGGCGTACCGCCTCCATACGGCATGATACACCTTGACGGCCATGGCAGAGTTCTACGGCGAATGCAATCAGATGGCCAACTACGTGCTCTTGTGCCGCCACCGCGGACGGCAGCTCACGAGTCTCGCCAGATGGACGAGAAGAGCTACAACTAACAGGAAGAGATGCAGCGGCTGCCGGTGATCAGGGTGATGAGGATGCGAATCGACAACACCACGAAGGCCATCGACTCGGAACAGGCCTCGATTGGATCCTTGCGCGACCCCAGCAGGACGACGGACGGCCCGCTTCCGTGGGACTTCGATGGGACAACGCGCCAGCATGATGAGCCACGGGTGCGTCTAAATACTCGCGGCCGTGACGCACATTATGGGGATGGGGGAGCGGGGCGGGGGGGGGGGGCATACCGTAACGCCCCCGCCCCGCCGAGTGGCTCTGGCACCACAGCGCCTGTGCATATCACAGCAAGCACCACAGTGCGCAGCACTGGATGCACCGCCCGCCGCAGCCACGTGCACCACGTCGCCCATGTACTGCGAAGCGCGTGATGCTTGCTGCCGCTGTGTTGCATCTACGTTGCACAATACAGGGTGCAACAACACTCTGCTTCTACCGCCTCCAAAACCGAAGCACAGCACGAACATTGTCTCAAATCTGTACCGCACTGCCTGCTTCCGATGCGTGCTGCACGCGTGCACCACAGCGACTGCGTGCACCGCAGCAGCCGCGCTCACCGCAAACCATGCGCACACCGCAATGCGCGGGTGCACCGCAGCGCTTGCGGACACAACAACCCCTGCGTTGATTACACTTATGTTGTAGAAGCGCGTTCTGCTTTGCTTAAAGTCTGGGCGCCCCTTGGCCAGAAGCATCGTGCCTGCAAGCACGCACGATACGGCGTGCCTGTGAGAAATTAGCTGCACTTGCGGCGACCACATGGCGGACTGGCGCAACCCTCTCGGATCACGCCATGTTAGCTAGCCACGCTGCGAACCTCGAGCCTGGAACCTCAATCCTCCGACCGGTATCCAGTCAACAAAAATCGCTTGACCTCAGCTCGGGGAAAACCGTAGCCAGATAGTCGAGCTGCGCGCGGCCTGGGCGACGAGGGCCTCCAGAACCGCCCCAAAAGGACGACGACGACGCCGGAGAAAATCTCTTGCCTCAAGAACCTAAAGTAAAGCCAGCCACGATCGATGACTACGACGCCGACGACAGCTACTACAACGATCGTGACGACGATCGCGACGATAACCACGACCACACTCGGGAGGCCAACGCCAACCAGGATGACTACTACGACTCCGACCACGACGACCACGATGACGACCGCGACGACGATCACGACGACTATGACGACGATCGCGACTGCCATCCAGCAACATACTGCCCACCCCGCCCCAACCACTTAATGTTGCGCGTCGAAACCCACCGCCCCACCCCCCTCTCCCCGCTCCCCCCCCGTCAGCATCCCCCCGCAGCCCCCCGCCTCCGCCCGCCTGCTCTCACTGCCCCCCAGCAGCCCAGTGCCCCCTCCTCCCCGACCACTTTAGTCTGCGCGTCGCAGCCCCCCGACCCGCCCCCCTCTCCCCACCTCACCCCCCCCGCCCACCTACGCAGGCCACCGCTCCCGCCCCCTTGCCCCCATTGTCCTCCAGCAGCCCAGTGCCCCCTCGGCCCAAACAACTGTATATTTCGCGTCGCAACCCCCTCCCCACCCGCTCCCCGACGCAGTGCGCTCTCCGCCCCGACCATTTTATCTGTCGCGTCGCAGCCGGCCCACCTCCCCCGCAAGCCACCGCCACCGCCCCCAGCCCCCGCTGTCCTCCAGCAGCCCAGTGCACCCTTTTCTCCGACCACTGTATGTTTCGCGTCGCAACACCCCCCCCCCCTTACCATTCTCCCCCACAGACCTCTCCGCCACCGCCCGCTGTCCTCCCGCAGCTCAGTGCCCCTTCCGTTTCGACTTGTGGCCCGCGTCGCAGCCGACCCACCTCCCCCGCAGGGCCCCCGCCACCGCCCGCTGCCCCCGCTGCCCTCCAGCAGCCCAGTGGCCATCCGCCCCGACCACATTGTTCTATTGCTGCGTCGCAGCCACATTCCGCCCCCCGTCCCCCTCCGCGGGCCACCGCCACCGACACCCTCCCCCAGCCCCCCCCCCCACCTCCCCTCGGCATGCCACCGCCCCTACACCCTGTCCCCGCTGAGACCCGCGCCCCCGCCCCCCTGCCCCAACGCGGGAGCAGGGGGGCGGGGGCATCGGCACACTGTCCTCCATCAACCCAATGCCCCTCCGCCCCGACCATTTTATTTGTCGCAACCCCCCCAGGCCATCGCCACACGCCCCCACCGCCGCCGTCGTCGTCGCCGTCGACTCCGTCGTGGTCGTCGCCGTCGTCAATGTCGCCACCGCCGTCGTCGCCGTCCCCGGCACAGTCGTCATCATCATCGTCGTCGTCCCCCGTCGTCCGCTTCCCGTAGTCCGTGGTCTGTCGTCCGTCGTCGTCGTCGTCGCCACCGCCGCCACCGTCGTTGTCGTCGTCGCCCGCGACGTCGCCGCCGCCGTCGTCACCGTGGCCGTCGTCGTCGTCACATTCGTCGGCGTCATCGTCGACGTCGTCGTCCCCGCCGTCGATGTCGTCGTCGTCGTCGTGGCCCGTCGTCCTGCGTCCGTTTCCCGTCGTCCGTCGCCCGTCGTTCATGGTCCGTCGTCTGTCGTCCGTCGTCCGCCGCCGTCGTCGCCGCCGTCGTCGTCGTCGTCGTCACTGTCGTCGACGTCGTCCGTCGTCGTCTTCGTCGGAGGCGGCGCCGCCGCCGCCGCCGACGCCGTCGTCGTCGTCGTCGTCGTTTTCGTCGTCGTCGTCGTCATCGTCGTCGTCCGTCGGCCGTCGCCGTCGTCGCCGCCGCCGCTGCCGCCGTAGTCGCCGCCGCCGCCGCCGTCGTCGTCGCCGTCGTCGTTTTCTTCGCCGCCGTCGTCGCCGCTGCCGTCGTCGTCGTCGCCGCCGCCGTCGTCGTCATCGTCGGGGGCGCCGCTCCTGGGCGCTCCAACCCCCGCAAGCGAAACGGCTCGGGCCAGAAGTCTGGTCTTTACGAGAAGCCCCTATTCGAGAAGCGTATACGAGTCAGCCGGCCCCCAAGGATGTACCCGACAGACTCTGTGCGCAACACGACTGCAGCGTTCCCAGCAGAAGGCCGTAAACATGTGCCAAATTGCACCGCGAGCAGCCAGGTATGCTCAATAAGCACAACGGGCCAGAGGCGTGCTAAGATCTCTGGTAACTGGTAAACAGTATTTCTAGTTCGCGCGCGCGGGGCGGCCCCTGGGGGTCCCTGGATCAAAAATACCCCGGGAGGAGCCCGGGACACGCCCGGGACACGCCCGGGTCACGCCCAGGACACTCCCCCAGATCCTCCAGGATCGCCCCAAGAGGGCCCCAAGAGGCCCCCAACACAATCCAAGAGAAGTCCGAGACGCCCGAAGATCGCTCCACGGCGCCCAAGATGGTCTCCAGACGGCCTAAGACGTCTCCAAGATGACCCAACAAGCCTCCAAGATGCCCCAAGAGACCCCCAGGAGCACTCCCAAGAGGGCCCCAAGAGGCAAAAATATGTGTTTTAGGTTTTGGACAGGTTTCAACCTTTTCGGTTCCCCGACGCCCCTAAACGGCTCAAGAGGCCTCCAAGATCGCCCCAAGAGGGCCCAAGAGGCCCTCAAAAGGGCCCCAAGACGGCCCAAGACGGCTCCAAGACGGCCCCAGAGGCCTCCAAGACGGCCCAAGAGGGCCCCAAGAACGCCCCCAACACGGTCCAAGAGAGGTCCGAGACGCCCGAAGATCGCTCCACGACGCCCAAGATGGCCTCCGGACGGCCCAAGACGTCTCCAAGATGGCCCAAGAAGCCTCCAAGATGCCCCAAGAGGCCTCCAAGAGAACTCCCAAGAGGGCCCCAAGAGGCAAAAACCTGTGCTTTTCCTTTGGTGTTGGACAGATTTGGGCGTTTTAACCTTTTCGGTTCCCCGACGCCCCTAAACGGCTCAAGAGGCCTCCAAGATCGCCCCAAGAGGGCCCAAGAGGCCCTCAAAAGGGCCCCAAGACGGCCCAAGACGGCTCCAAGACGGCCCCAGAGGCCTCCAAGACGGCCCAAGAGGGCCCCAAGAACGCCCCCAACACGGTCCAAGAGAGGTCCGAGACGCCCGAAGATCGCTCCACGACGCCCAAGATGGCCTCCGGACGGCCCAAGACGTCTCCAAGATGGCCCAAGAAGCCTCCAAGAT